ATGCCATCAGCGTGCTTCTTCCAGCCTGTATTTTTCTTCCTCCTCTGGGCACAAAAAATAATCCAGTGTTTAATCTGTTTATTTTAAAATAAAATTAAATGTTTGCTGTTTGTCTGCCACTGAATGTTTATTCCAATTACATTCCCAAAGGTAGCACTTTTCATTGTTAGTTTTTGAACAACAGAATCAGAAGAGGAACTCATCGGACACAGGCTTATTTATCTGCTTGTTTTTTCTTTTAAATTACTCACGGAAAGATAATATCTTTGCTGCCTGCAGATCAAGACAGGTTCAGCTCTGCCTATGAAAAGAGCATTTTAGTAAGACACCTCACGGCTTGCAGGGTTAATAAACACATGTCATGCAGATCTACTTCATGTGAAGCCGATGTTTCATTTTCTATTCTTATTTCTGACCTACACACTTTTATTGCCAAAGCCTCTTCCTCCCATCTAGTTCAGTCTTCTGTTCTACTGATTTCAAATGCTGTAAATTCTGTAGCCCGAGTCCAACTTGTGCCTCTGCTATTCCCCTGTTGAGTCTGGCCTGACTCTTTCCTGTCAGGGTTGGCTTGCTCCTTTCCTCTTCAATAGGATCATCCATCTCCATTGGAAGTCTTTCCGACAAGGCTGGCTGGCTTTCTTCTTCTTTCCGCCAAGCAGTGCTGACCTACTTCTTTTCTCTTGTATAAAAGCATCCTGATCTGTTCTGCCAGGATTGGTGTGCTACACACTCTTCTCCGATTACCCTCTCACACCCCCTTTTTTCAGCCCATTCCAATTGCCCCTTCCACAAATCAACTTGTAGTTACTCCTGTATTCATAGGCATTGAGGTGATCAGGAACCTAACCAGGATTCTGGCTATGAATCTAAAAGGGATTCATAGAGACACTGAATTGCAGGTTGAGAGGAAACTCTATCATGGGAATTGTGAATTCTCTAATCTCCTTCCTGCCTGCCTGCCTGCCTGCCTGCTTGCCTTCCAGCTACACAAACTGAGTTTCTTTAAGAACGTTAGCAAAGAAGTTCTTTGGTGTTGTCTATAGTATTTATTCCATCTGATTCTTCAAATGACCCATCACCATATTTTAAAATGAATATGAAATATGATATTGCTCTTTTGTTTCTTTTGTCAAACAATTGCTTTGGTAGATGCATCCCGCATTTTAACCAAAACTGTATCTATGAGCTACAGTGAGGTTAGAAAAAAATCATAAATCTTTTATTTCTGAGTGACTGATGAAAAAGAAAAGGTCTGCAAAGCAATGAATACCTCTTCGGGTAAAAGATGAAAGTCCCATCAAAAAATAATTGATACTCTTGTGATCAGTGAGAGCAAATTAAAAACCTGCCTCTTTTATGAAATCACTCTCTTGTGTGAACTATGCGAAGGTTCAAAGTTGTAAAATATTTGTTTTCCAGTAGGTGATTCTCAAATCATATAAACGGCTGGCATGTAGCCTGCTCTTATTTTAGTTATTTATTTTATCATGGTCATCCATTAAAACAGAAATAATCCATTGCAATTTTTAAACCTTTTCCCATTATTAATTACTTATGCTAGTTATTAAATTCTGTATTTTCTCTCAGTTGTGCATGCATGTGTGGGTATGTATGTGTGTGAGAGGTAGACCACAAGAGATGGTGTGTGTGTGTGTGGCTGTTGATGCTTTTGTGAAAACCATAAAGACCATGGTGAGGGCCCACAGGAATAATAAAATATTAATTTGATGGCAAAAAATTAAGTGCTTAAAGAAAGAAGCTGTTGTCTATCCCATGAGTAGCTTTTAAGACACTGATGTCAAGCTTTGAATGTGTCTATTTTTAGCTGAGCTAACCACATGTAATGGGATCTAAGTAACTGTCTGACTTCAATCAAGGATTTCACTGATGAAAACCAGTAATTTCTCCTTTCTGTCACAGTGTCAGTATCAAAACACTTTTAACAATAATATTTGGATGTGAAAAGATTTACTACATTTGTGCTAACAATGCTAAAAACTATCTTGCTGCAAAAGGTGCTAAGCTTAGTATCCACGTATCTAGGCATAGGTATCAAGGTGATTTCTTATTGACAGCAGGAGACAGTTATGCCATGCCATCAGAGCCCATCCAATCTTGCTCAGAAAATGAACAAGTCAGTGTACCAAGGATGGTTATTCCCTTTTGGAAAATGAGGCTAAAAATTCAAAACATGCCACCATTTCCTCTGGGATCCAGTCATAGACAACACACCAGATTCCCTAGACATAAAGATCCAATAATCACTGCATCTGGAATTTTTGATAGATGCACTGCTGTGCAGTCCAGCTATTAATAGAATCAAAAATCCTCATATGCCTTCCAGCTATGTCTCCAATGGAGCCAGTGGCCCAAATTACCTGCACACACTTTTCTAGAATTAAACAAGGAATGGATGTGCAAGAAGATTTGCTACTGATGTTAATGTATGTGCATCTAGTGTTACATGTTTTTCTTGGAACAGGTTGAAAGGGAATTAAAAAGCTGCACTGGGCACCATAAGGATCTCCTGCCATGCACAAAGTTTTCTGATCTATTTGCCCAAGAGAAGATTGGGTCCTTGAGCCTTTTGAAGGAAACATTTCTAAAAAGTGCAGATAGTTAGATTTATTTACAGCAGCTGAGTATCTGGATCCCAAGAAATGCCTTCTCCTTAAATACATGCCACACTGAAATGAATAGGTAGCTTATTACTTAAAATATGTAACAGAATAGGAACTTTGTTTTCTAAAAACTAGATCAAAAGCAATTTTTAAGCTGATTCGCAATCCTGGATTTGCTTAGTGAAAACTAATTGTTAAAAATTCTATCATCCATCCATCCATCCATCCATCCATCCATCCATCCATCCGTGTGTGTATATATGTGTGTGTATGTATATATCTATGTATGTGTATGTATGTGTGTGTGTATCATAAATGCCTCTAAAATTATTCCTTTAGTTTTTATTTTAATTAAGAAGTTTAAACTGAAATTGTCCTGCCGTGGCTCACTGACACTTTTAAGTCTTCATGCTGTGTTTTAAATTGTAATTTAAATTAAGAGAGCTAGAGCAAATCCAAGGAACACTGTCAAGTCTTAGGTTTATTAGGAAGATAATATGCAACTATTTATATTGTTTTTGGGGGTTTTATGATACTTAGATTAATGTAAGGGCTTCTCTCTGAACAGACATATATTGGTCTACAATATTAATGTACACATCTTAGGAAAGAACAGATGGGTGATACACAGCACTGACATGAAGGTGGCTGCAGAACCAGGAGTATGATATAAAGAAGTCAAGACTTTAACATTTTTTTCAGCTGTAAAAATTGTGCCATTCGTAATAATTTTGAGCTAATTTCCTAATACTTTTGAGCTGAAGGATCTAATTCAGAAACAGCTGGTCTCAGTTGTTGAATTAAGCATGAATGAGGGATAATGCAGATCCCTGAGCCTTAAATTAGTGAATGAATAAATGTCAGTTGTCGGTCATGGTACATCACAACAATAATCAGAATAAGAACAATATCATGTGTTACCTACAATTCACCTATAGATATAAATTGAAATGATCTGAGGCATATGTCTCTCTCTGATTCCTACTGACATCATAACATGACCCTGTACTTTCCACTGCCTGCTTTTACAACTTTCCAGACAGACCTACAGTTCTTGGATTCCTTGGTAATGTTTCGTCCAAGTACTAACCAGGCTCAACCCAGCTTAGATTGCTCAAGATCAGCCAAAGTCAGCTACCTGCTGCGATATATAAGTATGCAAAAGAAAACATGAAGCAGTGCAGGATCACTACCAGTCATGGACCAATACAGAATTCAGCCTCTGGTTGCTTATTTAGTGCTTTCTGAACTCATGAATCAGCCTTTCCTCCATGTAGTTTCTCTACTTGCCTAACTTGAAGTAATTAATTGAAAACTGCCATGTTAGACCAGTTACCAGGGAGTGTTGACCACTAATTATGGAAAGAAAAGAAGATAATCCTTTCATTTTGTTGTTTTATCTGCAACTGGGAAGACTGGATGAAGCCACCAAAGCAACTTTTTCCAAGATAAACATAAAGTTTATTCCAAGTTGAGCTCTATTCCGGATGAGATTATGGACAACTATTTATATATACAAACATACATGAAAAGTACACAAACCATCTGTGTATTTTCCTTGACAAAAATATGGAACTGACTTGTTGCTGTCTCCTCCTCCTTCTTTTCCTCCTTCTTCCACAGTCTAGCCTAAAGCCCTGGTATTTTCTGAAGGACTCTCATCCAAATACAGACCCAATCTTGTTTAGTTTCCAAGGCCAAAGTTAACCAGAGGCTGCTACCTGTTAAGAAACTGTCAATATTCCCACCCAAATGACCTACAAAAGAATACAATAATGTGCATGCTTCATCTGCACTGCCAACCTGGCTCTAAATGTACCTCTAGGCATTCCTCATTCACCCTCATCAACTGATGTCAAATCATCAGAAAGGAGTGAAACAATTAATCGCTGAGCAAGCCAACCATAGTATAGAATCTGAATAGACTGCACTGTTCTGATGCTTAGGGGGCATTCTGTGGCTTTAGGGCTGTATGTAACTCCTGAACTCCTTTTTTGTGAACCCCCAAAACCTTTCAGCCATACCATTTCATTGGTGACATCAGTGTTAAAAATTAGTGGGGCAATTTTCTGTCATTTTAAATGAAAAATGTAACCCACCCTCCAAATAATGTTTGTATAAATCTTTTAATAGATTTAATACAGTTAAACAAAACCCAGGGGGGAAAACATCTCAAAATACCCCCATATTGAAGAAAGCCCCCAAATCCCAGCCATGTGATACAAATCCTCACATGATGTAGCACCACCATCTTTCAGCCCAGACTAGCAAAATTAAACACTACCCTGGCTGTCCAAATATTTGCCACTGATCTATAAAAATATTACATTTCGGTCATAAACGTCCCATTCAGCATCCACAGGCAGAATGCTTAGCAGCACAGTTTTATTTATATTGAAATATTCCATCAGCTATTGTACGCTGAACTGGAAAGTCGTCGTCATCATCATCATCATCATCATCATCCTGGAAGAAATGAATGGCAAAGCAAAGTAGTTTTAATCATAAATTGGCTGCACATATAAATTATGTCCAAACAACTTTATGCTGCCATAATTTGGTGACATAAGTTCTATTTTTGTTTTTTGTATTTTTTAATTCAGGCAGGCAAGCGGTATCATCTCATTAAAAAAAAAAAAAAAAGATCTCTGTTTCCAGGGCTCAGCAAAACTGTTTCTAACCATAAAGAGCAACTGCTAGCTAGTATAGCCAGTGCTATTTTCATGAGCCCAGTGGTTTGATTCTCTACAAGGCAATCCTTTGTGAAGTAAACAATCCCTGAAGGGCAATGGAACTTTCCAACTGTATCCCAGTTTAGACTCTTCATGCTGAGAATTTCGTCTGGCTGATAAAACACAGGCCTCAGGGAACAGCACAAACTCCCATATTGATATATGACAATTGGCTTTGCACAGTGGCTAAGGTGATTTCACTGTCAATTCCTCCTAATGTTTATTCCACCTCGCACCAACATTGAGGGATGCAAGTATAGCCAATTAGTCTTCTTGTTCTTTGTGACTGTTGTCTTGTTGAAAAGCAGGTCTGCTCAGCTTTCATACTTTGCAAGCTTGGGCAGTATGTTTGCCTAGACAGAGAGCAGGAAGAATACTTTCTGTGGATTTCTATCTTTGCCATCCTCAGCATTTCTGATCCACAAACAGCATTAGCATTCTTCTAATGGTTAGAATAGCATTTCTTAAGACTGAGACAAACTATTTTTCTAACCCAGTGTTTCTCAGCCTCAACACTTTAAGATGTGTGGATTTCAACTCCCAGAATTCCCCAGCCAGCATGCTGGGGCTGAGAAACACTGGGTTAGAAAAATAGTCTCAGAATGGTGATCTAGCATGTACAGTTGGTTTAGCTTCCACGCAGTCCACAATCATACAGCAATGTGGACAAAAAATTGGAAGTCCATCATTGAAAATTTAGAAGCCTTTCTTGACATAACCCGTTCAGTTTATCACATAAGCAAACTGGGGTTTCTGTCTGCGCTTTTTAATTGTTTTAAATGGAGAGAAAAATCCACTTGGTTTCCCCTTTATTTCCTTCAGAAGAGATGACAAGTTTTATTTTAATCTTTCCAAAGCATTTTAAGGTCCCATTAGCATTCCCACGAGATGTCAGGATGAGGTAGAAGCAGGCTAGGCTCATGTATTGAGTTACCACATCTGGAATTTCATCCACCCACAGGTAGCAGTGACTGCCAACAGCAGAACTGGGAGAACAGCCTGGAATCCGATCTCAATTAAAGCTACACAGCATCCACAATTGGCAACTCCTGGGGGGCCTCTCTCTTCTATATGTGTTCTGCAAATCCACCAAACGCCTCCAGCTGACAGCTTTTCAAAATAGTTACTTTTGGCATCACTTCTATGGGCACAATATGTCCTGGATAATTTATTTCATTTTATGTGTTCGGCTCTTTTCTAATTAACTCTTTTGTTTCTTGAAAGAGTAGCTTTTTCTGCTATGTGTCAGCAATAGGCCAGCCATGGGGGGGAGGGGTTCCACTTTGAAGATTTGATTCAGAATGGAGTCGATTGAATGACCTCTTTGAATGGAGTCTTCAAGTCAAAACTGCCAAAATTGGATGCCTTGAGATTGATTTGGCAATGGAGGGAAATGTTCTGAATGTGTACAGAGTTTCTTGGAATTGAATCAAAGTATCTGGCTGAATTAACTCATACCTTTGATAATTCATATCAGATATTGGGTGATTTGCACATCTCTCTTAGGTGAATGTTGGAACAACGTAAAGGATGCCTTTGCATCTTGACTGAAATTTGCACAGTGGACAGTTACCACAACCAGGACTAGTTCTGGGTTCTATTTATTTATTTACAAATTTATACCAGCTGTTTACCAAATTATAGCTGGTTATGTCTGAAGAGCTTTGGCAATGTATTTGTTGATGGAACTCACTTTCCATCAGTAAGTCCTGGAAGGCTTCTGTAGCAGGGAGAATAATGCTTAGATTAGTATTCAGTGTTCCAGTTGGAGCTGATTTGTGAGTGCAACCCTGAAGGTTAGAGACTACCAAATGTAAATGTATACATAAACAGTACTATATGTTTAAATATAGTATATGTACTGTATATGTGACATATATAATACTATATGCACACAGTGGGGCTTTTTAAGGTTCTATTCTACTCTGTTTTCCTCTAGTAGAAGTTCCAAAAGATTCAGGCATTCCAAGTTCTAACTTTGACCAGAGGGAGGGAGGGAGGGAGGGAGGGAGGGAGGGAAGAAGGAAGGAAGGAAGGAAG